TCTTTGGTATACTTGGACCAAGCCTTAGCATACAGAAGTGCTGACTCGATCCCGCTGTCATTTTTGAGCAGCATGTGATCGACCTCCTTGGCGCGCAGGGGCCCTGAGACGATATTGGAAAAGGAAAAGGAATGGGGTTTCAACATGTTGGCAATCTGACTGACAGGCGTACCTTAGCCCAGCTCTGGAGAGAAAAGCTCTTCTGACCTTGAGGTATATCTTAATTCCAGTTGATGGTAAGCAGAAACGACGGCGCTTTTTATATAGCAGTGAGAGACGCGAGATTGAGTTGATCACTAAATCAGAAAACCTATATCTTCAAATTCTATAACTTCAGTGTTTAAAAAATGGACACCTTTTTATCTTATCACACACACAGTATTGGTAACCTGTATGACTGATGTATATGATTTATTGTATGTGTACAGTCGTCAATAATAATTCAGAAAAGACAAGAAAATGTAAACAATTTAGGGAATGAACATTTCACTGAGGCTAAAGAACAAACATTTCAAAGCAACTCATCACTGAATGATAGCCGTAAACTGCCCAGTGGAGTAGAGGGAAAGAAAAATTAATGAGAAAAATTTGCTAGAAAGTTGATAAATTCAGTTTATAACGCTGAGGTCATAAGGTCTTACCCTGTAGATCATCTTTTTCAGGAACTAATCCTCCACACTCAACTGACAGGTTTTCATAAGACTTTTGAATTTGAAAGAAAAAAAACAGAAAGAAACCACCATGTAATAAAGAGAATCCCTCAGACAGAAGAAAAAACAAATACAATAATTACTACAAATAATAATTAAAAGATTAATTACACACACGCAAACAACATCATTTCTCTCTATTCATAAATAAACAAAACAAACAATCATATCAAATGTTAACCAAGAAAATTTAGATGTAAACTTGTTATGTAATGTGGTGATCAATTTAAATGCACCTGAACTGGTGCATCCCTAGCTTCTTGCCAAAACATTTCAGAATCCATACTCCATTAAAATAGAAAACAGAACAACACTGGATTTAATTATTATTATCACAATATTATCTCAGTAACAATTAAAGAACCACCTAGTTTCTAAGACTA